CCAGTCCCGAACATTCTGTGATTCTGTGAAAATACTGGTGTGAAGAAACTCCTTGTGAAATATTCAGACAGGGTTTTGTCTCCAGGTGGGATCTAACACACGTTTCTATTGGCATGTATCATGGAGATAAGCTTTGAGAAGCGAGACTTGTTTACCCGTATGTTGTGATTGTGCCCAGTAATCCAAATATCCTTGGATTACAACCGCTAGTAACTAAAAAAATAATAACTTTGTCAGATAACCATTTTTTTTCAACTCTTCAGTTTGCCTCTTGAACATTGATCTAAATCAAATTAATTTTGTGGCTAGATACTTAGAAACATGGATTCTATTTCTGACTCAGAAACCAAAAGTCCACAGTTTAAGATAGTTTCCAACCACATACTTTTGAGTTCTAATCAATAATGCTGAAGGCTTTTCCTGCTTAAAAACCGTAAGAATTGTTAAAGGAGGTAATTAGCACATTGTAAGAATAGTTAGTTATTATTTCTTCTTAAAGTATTAGGATTACAACTTTGTGCAATTCATGTTCCAAAAGTACCGATGTGGGGTTTTTTTTGCTTTGAAGGATGTGCAAAAATTGTAGACGGGGATAATATTAGCAAAAGGCTGTCGACTCCCTTAGTCTAATGGAGAAAATGGGGTCACTCATTTCTGTTGCTGCCGCTCGTGGGATTTTGAAGTTAATCTCTGCCTGCCTCATCAGTCTTTTAAAGCACAGAGAGCTGTTTCAGACAAACCGTAAAGGTAATGGGATGCTTTATTAGTGTTTGAGCTGTAAAAGGCCTTTTAATGCTTTGTCGAGATGTGCATGGTAAATCTAATGTTATTTAATTGTGGAGCAAAGGAAAAGGTGCATTCCAGAGGACTGTGAGGATTTTTAGTGGTACTTCTCTAACTGTGTCCTTTGCTTGTGCTCTGTGCATAGGGAGTTGGCCTCTCCGTCCACGGACACTTCCGAGTTGCCACAGAAAAGACGGTTTTTGCAATGCCAGAAACAGCAATAGGTAAGTATTTCAACAGACTATCCCATGTGAGTGTAACCAGGGCGAAATATCTTTAAAAGCATTTTCAGAAGGAATTGGAGATGACCGTGTATAGAAGGTATTTTCTATTAAACGAATCGAAACTGATCTGTATTCTAGGAGGTTGAACACTGAGGGTTTTAATCTGAGGTTTGCTGTCTAGACTGACACAAAGACTGTCGGGAGACAATTTAAAAAACTGGCAGCAGATCTAAGAAACTAAATCTTTGCTACAGATATAGGCAGAGAAAGTCGGAAAATCGCAGTGCAAGCATGTCAGCTTTCATCTGTAAATCAGCAGGAGTCAAACAGGCTGTACTACAAACTGATCTGCAACGTTAGTGAGACAGATGTTGAAATGCCACCTTCCAGCTTTTCTTGTAGATTATTAACATAGACCCATGACAGTTGCGTACGGGTTGTGTGCAGGTGAGATCACAGCGTTGTCTTTTCTTCTTTTCTGAATAGCAACGTGTACCTTGTGTTTTCCAATGTTTGACACTACAGCTTCATTGTCAACTTTGAGATGTTATGAAAGAAAATGTTGGGTCTCAGAGCTGAATGAAGGGTATCCACACCGAACCTGTTCTTGTCTGGCATATGTACCCCATCAGTGTCCCAGTCCCTTCTCCCTGCTTCTCAACAGTTATGAAGAGTCCTCAAAACCTGTACCCTATCCTGCATTCCTCTCCTGTGAAATTCCTCATTTCTAAATCTTTCCAAGGCAAGGCATCTGAAGGATGGTTGCAGTTGTTCTTGTCTTTATGTCCTCGTGAAGGAGAATGAGGCTGGTCTGTAATATGAGGCCATGAGGAACACATTTATTTGGAATAGAGAACCTTATCTAGCGGTTAAACAGCTTCAATGGCACCTCAAATAATTAGTTGCAAGGAGTAGCGACCATTATTTCTTAAAAGAATTTCCAAACAGTTACATAATGTTAAAGCTAACAAGTAATGGGAAGGGAAAAAAGAAATCAGGACTCAGTTCTGAAAAGAGGATAAAAATTATGATATTCTGCTTTCATTGAGAGTATTTTAAGTACAACAACGTCTTGGAATCATAGAACAGCTTGGGTTGGAAGGGGACTCAAAGATCATCTAGTTCCAAGCCCCCTGCCACGAGCAGGTTGCTCAAAGCTCCATCCATCCTTTAAATAGAAGTTAAAATGCGTGCTCAGCTAATGACTGGATTTTTGTAGCTCCCCCTGTTAGCAGTGCTTAAAAGGTCCAGTATTTTCCATATTTTTAAAGGATGTCTCACACATATCCTCTACTGTTTATTGCTGTGCAGCCTGGATGAAATATTTCACAAGACCTATACTGAAATTCTTAAAATATTAAATGTGCTGCGAGTGTGAAGTCAAATAAATCATAATGAACCCCCCCTAAATGTAAGCAAGCTCATTATAACATTATAACTCCTCAAAAATCATTAGAGAAATTTCTGCTCGCTGATAAATGTCATGTAATTTTTCTGAACAAAAAAGTTTGAGATGAGAAAAACAAAAACTATTGTAGCCCACCAGACAATTTTTTTCTGCTGCAGGAAAACTTAGTAAGTGAAATAGCTCAAGCGTTAATACAACATGAATTTACTAAACTCCTGAAGTTCATGGTCAGTTGTAGTAAAAATAAAACCATTTGAAGGAAGCAATTATTTTTTTTTAGATTAAACAGAAAAGTTCTCTGGCTTATAAAAGTATTCTAATAATAGAGATGACTTCTTTGCTTTCTTCTTCAAAGGTAAAGATGTGAGTAGTATTATATTAACAAAAATTATGTTCTTTACATACATTGCTTGTGTTGACAAGGACTTATTTAAACAGAAATAGACTGTGAAGATGCATAAAGGAAAAGCTTAGAACTTGCCTAGGAAAGAAAGAAACCCCTTTTAGGATCAGTTGGAAGTAAAACCACTGAAATCTGTTTAGATTTAAGGGCTTGACTGTTTTGATCTCTTGTGATGTATGTTAAAAACATCTAGCCATCTAGATATTGTTATTAATTGATTATATTTTTTTTGCATACGTTCACTTCTTTCAGTCGGCTTTGCACCTTTTCTGTGGAGACAGCAAAGCGTTCCTTCAGCGGCTGCGTTTTCCCACAGCTCTTCTGCACTCCTGCCCCACCATAAATAAAAGGCTACAGATAGCTGTGGCACTCTGCAAACTCAAAGTAAAGGCAGCTCTGGGTCGTGGGAGTTTGACGTAGATAAGATAAAGCACTGGAAAGCAGCTTAGACATAGGAGGGTGTGGAAAAGCCACTGCTGAGAAGGAGGAAAGATGGAAGTAGATTGTAAGAGGTGGGCTTTAAGGTGATGTTAGCGGCAACTTCCTTGTATATCCCTCCACGTTTTTAGCTCTAAGGCAAGAGACTTATCCTGTCTCTGCAAGACAAGGTAGGAATGGAGCCGCGCGTGGCAACTGCCGAGTTTCACGGTTGGGGTTCCAGTGAAGCGCGCCACGTCTGCCTCCGAGGGCAGGCTGCAAGTCAACCCTGCAGGTACAGGCTTTTAGCCCGGGCAGCCCCGCAAATGTTCAGGTCTTCTCTTCTTTAAGTAGGGATTTGAGAAGTAATTGGTAATTGCTATCAAAAGAAAAATAAAAACACCCAACAAGTGCATGGAACACCTTAAGAGAAACCCAGTATCAAGCAGAAACATGTGGGAAGTGGTATTGAGAGAACCGAGGAATATATAGAACAGGAGTAAGAGGAGTAAAAGTGTAAGAAGAAAGGAAAACAGGCACCCTGAAAAGGAAACAGTAGAAGCTATAGCAGACTATGTTTATGCAGCCAAGGATTAATTACACCTTTTGTAAATTCCTCAATTATTAAAGAATCCTTACATTCAGTTTAGTTTTATTCGCCTCTAAAGCAATTTCAGCAAATCAACCTCACAGTTTTCTGAGAGCTGATTTCCCTGTGTATGGCCACGTGGACATTATGGTTAGGATGGCTCATACTGAGAAGGTGCAGAGCAGTCTATGCAGAATATGAGTGCAGACGAAAAAGAAGGGAGACAAGAAGGAGCTGCTAAGTTACAAGGATGATTAGGACAAGTTCATCTCCCTTCACGTTTTTCTCATTTGCGTGGTTTTTTTTTATTACAGGCCTTTTTCCTGACGTGGGTGGAGGATATTTCTTGCCAAGGCTACCGGGAAAGATTGGCTACTACCTTGCGCTAACAGGATTTCGGCTGAAAGGAAGAGATGTGCTAGAAGCTGGCATCGCGACACATTTTGTAGAAGCCGAAAGGGTAAAGCTGCTGAACAGCACTGAGCAAGGGCGCAGCCGTAACAACATATTTGAGTCACGTAGCACAGCAAACATCTTTTATCAGTTTGAGAATACGCAGAGATGCAGTTAGATTAGCTGGCCCCACGTTCTAACGCTTGCCAGCTAGCGACAGCTTTTTGCTCGCAAGAGGGAACAAATGTTGCTGTCTTCATGACTCTGCTGCTGAAGGGCACGATTTTCTGCGTGTAATTGAAGTTGCCTGGAAAATCGTACCATTTAGACAACATTGTCTGAAATTAGAGATTATTTCTACAGCTGCGAAGTTTTTTATATTTCATTCATGTGTTCTTTAGCACTCTCCTTAACAGATATCCCAATGGTTTCTTACAGTAGCTGTAAGAACATGGAAAAATTAGGATATTTGCTAAATTCAGAGTCAGTTCCAGGCACAATGCAAGTCATTTTTCCTTCTCTGTGAAGCTGACTAGACGCTATTTTGAGCGCAGGATGGTTGCCAGGCTGCTGCAGGCTGGCTTGACCTGCTGCGGCTGGAGTGATGCGCCGGGGTGTGCGCTTGGCAAGCAGAGGTCGTTGCTCATCACTGCGGGCATAATTAAATCCTAATGGTTCAATGCTGAAAAGTGAATGTTTAGTACCTTACTAAAATCTAGTTGAAAGTTGGGATGGGTGGGCAGTGTGTTTATATACACATGTAAACATAGTACTTTTACCATAGTGATAATAATCCAAGAAGTACATTTTGTTCTAATTTTTAAAAAAATTTTAATTAAACCTTGTTTTTAATAGCTACCTGCCTTAGAGAAAGACCTGATAGCACTGAAGTCTCCTTCAAGAGAAAACATTGCAGACTTATTGAACTCTTACCACGTGAAGGTAATCTGTTCAGTTAATGAAATCAAGCAGAATTGTTCACTATAAGTAAATACAAAAATCTTTTTTATCCATGATACAGGTCATTTGTTTTATGTTTGAAAAAAATATGAGGGGTTTCCAAACTCTTTGCACTCTATAATTGTAGCACTAGTACTTACAGTGTTAAAAATTTAAATTTAAAAATCTTTTTTCACATTTTATTCTTTTTGGATACCCATCCAAGTCCTGTGATCAGCTCGCTCTCTATGTCTCTACTTAAATTTCCAGGTAGGAACATGATGCCAAAATCGTATTGCTGCTTAGTTTGCCTCCTGTTATTCTTGGATTTCTAGCGCGCTTTGCAGAAAGCAAAATAGCTAGCCACTGGCAGACTGGGAGTTGTACATGATGGCAAGTGCCATCTGAGGAGTTCACCTGGAATTCCGGAGTTCTGACCAACACAAACACATAGTCCCGAGGCTGCAGAAGTTCAAGTGCCAGTTATTCAGTGCCCTGCTGCTCGCTTGGAAGCCGATGTTTATTTCTGTTCCAGAAACTTTCTCTTTATCCATCTGAAGCACTATTTTGCTAGCTTGATGTCTTTGATGTAAAATTTTAGCATTATTTTGATGCAGACCATCTGCAGTCCAGATTTGACGCCTGAATTTCAAGGCTCAAGTTGTTCTTTTAATTTCTCACGTTTTATGCGTTGGTAACCTTGAGATAACTGAAAGACTGTGAATAAGCCCAGCAGTTATTGATAGGGGAAGTATTAGCCTAGTGCTGCAAGGAAAGCACTGGAGTTCTTAAAGCAATATTTTCAGGGGGAGGAAGGTGCTCTTATCGCAGCAGACAAACTCAGAGTTGTGATTTTGGAGGTGAATGTGGCTGTATTGATAGTACACAGTGAGTATTTGTGTTAGGCCTTGGGTTTACAGTCAGTTTATTCAGTGGCTGTTTTAGCTGTTTGATATGCACTATGATTTTATTTAAGAAGAAACATCTGGAGTCAAATCAGTGTTCAACATATTCAGTCAATCTGAGTGTTACTCCCCAGTTGTTTGGCTTTACAATGAGCAGTGTCTACTCTTGTTATTTCTCTTTTGCAAATGCTAACTTCACATAGAAAGATTAATTAGAAAAATAAAAGGGATAAGCTAATTTATGTAGTAGCGCTGATTGTTTTGACAAAATAGGAAGCTGTGAAATAGGAAATTCAGTGTTGCCGTGTACTACTTTACAAGATGACATCAAATGGAGAAGAAAGCTGCGTGGTTTTAGTTATCAGAGTTGAAATAACAGGGAACCTTCCTCAGCTTCAGCTGCTGTTACTGAAACACCTGCTTATGTCCTAAACCCCTTCGTGCAAAAAGATACGAAACATTTGACAGTCTTTCCACATAAGGCCAATGGATCTTTCACACTCGTTAGTAGTCTAAATAAAATTTTGTGAAATAACGGAGAAAAGGTAAGGAAGAGAAATTATTTTTCTTAATATTCTCAGGGGTTTGGTTAGATTTACCTGCACCTGCTTTCTTAGTGTATTTGATAGAAACGTACTGATGGAATAATCATGATTGCAGGCGTACAAGATAACCACCCAAATGTGCATACATAGTAGCTCAGAGCAAGCGCTGTCTTATGAGATGACATCTTTAACATTCACAAGTGACAAGTTTGTTTATGCACACAGCAAAACTGTAGTTCATTAAAAATGTCAGTGCCTGATGCCTGTTAAATGAGCATTTATGATTTATATCTCTATAACACAAGTAATTGAATTTTTTTCCAGTACTGAGAAGCTCTTCAGTCTAAAATAACCAAGTAAAATATGTCTTTGCTTTTTAAATAGAGCAAAGTTGATCAAGAAAAGAAGTTTGTACTTGATGAACATATGGAGAAAATTAACAGGTATTCATCAATCTTTCTGTCTGAAGTTAAATCAAGTAGCAGTATCAGCGTTCCACAGATAAGGAAATAGAAATTACATTCAAGTTAATAATTTCAATTTTTTTTGTTTTTGTTTTATTTCATTCATCAGTATATTAAATACTTGAGCATATTTTCCTGATTCATACGCCATTGTACTAAGCAACTTCCCTATAGCACATTAAAATGAACATTTTCTTTAGAAATTGAACCAGGATTTGCGAGAGTAATTGTTCAGTTGGATAGGAAATGGTACGTAGCACATTTATACTTGTTCCGTGATAGTTTGGAACTTGTGTGTATCAGAATCCTAGACTGGCCTAGGCTGGAAGGGACCTTAGAGACAATTTAATCCAACCTCCCTGTCATGGGCAGGGACACCTCTCAACTAGATCAAGCAACACAAGGGAAGGAGAAATAAGTGGGAGGGATAAGAAGCAGCTGTAACTCTTGAAGAAGGGATGGCAGTAAGTAAGTTTAGACGCAAAACATGTTGACATTGAACCGGTATAATGGAGCTGATAGTTAAAAAATCAATGTTTTAAAAATACGTATGAGAGTAGAAACTTAAGTTTCCAGATAAATGTCAGAGTTTGTAAGTAAGGTTTTCTGAAACACTAGAGATGTGTAAAGGAGAAGAAGATGCCTGACAACCAACTTACTTAAAATTGTACAAGCAGGAAACACATTGCTAAAAAAAAGCCAAATCTGCTTATGCTCTGTTTCTAATTTCTGTGTTACTGTCACTCCAGAGGGAAGAAGAAGGCTGAAGCAGTTTATTCATTAACATTTTTTTTCTTTTAGTCTATTTTCAGCAAACAGTATGGAAGAAATAGTTAAAAAATTAAAGCAAGATGGTTCTCCTTTTGCCACTGAGCAGCTAGAGGTAATGTCTTCTATGTTATTTTTGTTAGAGATTTTAAGTCTTATCATGGAGCAGACTTTCATCACATTATTAACATTACTTATACTACGTGACACCAGTAGGACATTGGACTGAGCCTCTCAGGTTCTCACCTAGTCTTGGGGGATTGCCAGCAGTTCTACTTGGGCAAGAATATTCCCCTGTGAAACTACACAATGTGAAACCTGTCGTACATGGCATAGAAATGTAATTAGTAAAAAAAAAAACCAAACTCCCTTTTCCCCTCCCTGTGATCAGGGTGTTGTTGGTAACAAGGATTCCTTCTATAGCTTCTCATTTTTCTTACCAAGGGTTGGCATAAAGCAGTGCCAGAAACATGGTGTTCTTTTTCTTCCATTCCAGATCTCTCATTTGGGTCAACACCAAGCAATTTCTCATCACAAAGTATTTTTTGATCTTTTTAATGCATTTCTGAGGGTCGGGTGTAGTCACTACTCAAGAAACATACAGTGACACTACAAACTTAATACACACCTCAGCCTCAAAATCAAGAAACAACTTATAGTCATTTATTAGTAATGTGTTTATTTTCACTTTGCTTTGAAGTATGTGTTCAAGTGCCTTGTAAAGTGTCTTGAAACTATTCAGATACTACTTTAGAATTGGATAGAACACAGGTTTTGTTTTAATTTTACTTATAGCTCAGAAGAAATCCTGCTCTTGTAATAAAATAAAACATCCATCACCATTGGACTGTCACGTGAGCAGAAGGAATATAATTTTACAATTTAATGTCATTAACATGAGGCATCCTGTCCCAGATAAAGAGATACATTTTGAGGCTTAGTTATTAATTAAATATTTAACAACCTATCACTGGAACTCGCACGTGGTTTTTGAGAAAGGCAGTGTTAAGATTTCCCTTTGTGCCAACCAGTACCTCGCAAGAAGTTTAGCGTATGTATTACAAAAAAGCTAATTTTCCTCCTGCTTGTGTTCAAGTTTCATTGACTAAAGTAGCCAAATGAACTAGTGCCAAGACAATCATTTCACGTGTCTGTAGGCCTGAATTCTGCCACAGGCTGCCAGCATGGGTTTTCCCCCAAACTATATAGGCCGTATAATTCAGTTCTTCACTTTTTCCCTCTTATAGATGGCAGGAAAATTAGTTACATAAAGGTCTGTTGAGACAGTTTGATAGCATGTTAACAGCAGGCGCTTCTGGTGACTCTTGTTCCTTTATAGTACTGAGTTTCAAGGGGTTTATTTGTAGATTTTATGATAATCCTTGTATGCTTAACTGCAGTGGAGGCTGAAAACAATCAAAAATTAATTGCATGTATCTTCTCCCTAAGTTGATTTCATACAATTTTTATGGCACCTTCAGGCATTAATCCGACCCAGTGGAACTTTTTCAAATAGCATGGAGCCTTTAAAAGTTGCTTTGTTCAAAATACAGTTTATGTTACAAAAGATGCAGAGTCTGGAAACACTTAGTTACCAAAATATGTTAAATAGCTAGTTAATTCTGCCTTGTTTGCTCTAGTTACCCAGATCTGCCTAATTTGCTTCCTTCACCTGCAGCCTCATAACAGAGATCTCTCCTATTTAAAAAAAAAAAAAAGTTCTTGTTCCTTGTTTTAGAGGATACATTTGCTTCATATCTTCAATTTAGAACTTAAAACCATATCATCTACTTCAAAGTTGTGATTTTGCGTAGCTGTGGTTTTTTAGTCCTGGACAACAACAAAAAGGCTCTTTTGTTGCTTCTGTGGTTTTCTTGTTTCTTGTCTTTTATAGGGCTTCATAGCAGCATTTTTCTTTCATGCAATTCATAAATGAACACTGTCCTTGGAGTGGACAAAAGTTCCTGAACAGTTGCCTGTTGTCCCTTCTGTCCACGGGATGAAACTTTGTTAGTACGCGTTACTTCTGTCCATACAGAGATTTGTGGAAAAAGTAACCCCAAAAACCAAAACCAAACCACAAACCAGCCTACGAACAAACCACACTTTCTAGCAGGTTCAAGGCTTATTGATGTGAACAAGTTTGAGATGAGCTTCTAACTGCACACATGGTGTGCTAAGCAGTAGGATTAAGAAAAACTTCATAGGATCAGATAATATTTTTTTCCTGTGCAAGATCCACAAAAGCAAAGAAGAAAAATGCATTTATAGGTGGGGGAAAAAAAGTGTTAAGAAGGGATTCATCTACAAATCTGGCTTTCTCCAGGAGATGCTTGCTAGTTAAATTGGAGGGTCATATTGTGGTTTGTCTTTTTCTTTCACCAGGGAAGCAGAATTGTAATTAAACTTAGTTGTAGCTGGAGGAAGAGTATGCCTACAGATGACAGTTTCCTGTCACTATGTGAAACCGAGGTTTCACTTCAGTGTCCAGGTGCAGCCACAAGAGCAGATTCAAATGATAAATAGACCGTAAAGGAATCTGTAACAGCAAGGTATACGCTTGTTTTCTTTGTTACCCCATTTAATCCAAGCGCACCGTGAGCCATTGTCGTGGGTTAGGGCTGGGCCGGCC